GCCGGGGGGGGCGGCGCCAGGATTTGCCAAATGTGGCCGCGCAGCTGGCGGAGCCCAGGGGGGCTATGCGCGGGTACATATATACATATATATATATATATAGAGAGATATCGTTCATAACCACAGCGCCCCACCACGACGACCGACCGAGAGGCGGCGGCAGCGGCGGCAGAGCAGGGTGGCGCGGCCCCACCTGGAAGTCGCAGTCCGCGCGAGAGTGGGTGGAGCCCTCCACAGGGCCAATCCACCCGTGCTGGCACCCCCAGCGGGCCAAGCGCAGCACCTCTCAAGGGCCCTGACCTCGAGCCACGCGCGGACGAGGATCCCGAGCACCCCCCGCGGGGCCAAGCTCAGAGCAGCACCCCTACGGGCCAGGCCACTCAGATCCGACGCGGGCGACGCGAGAGGACACGGCACACGTGGGCGACCCCGGAAGGGCAGCTATACGCGCACGTGGAAATACACGTGCAACGCTTAGAATCGGGCCCTGGACCTATCTACAAGGCCTGCGCTGCTCGACGTGCGTCGTAAAGTGCTGAGCGCGCATTTCTACCGCGCAGGTGGAAGGGGGGGGGGCGGCGGCCGGGGCCGAAGGGTGTTGCGCGAGTGAAAAGCCAGCGCGACCCGCTCCACATCCTCGGGGGACGGTTCACCCCGGAGACCGATATGGAACGCAGCGTTCCCGGGGATTGGTACCGAGGGATAATGAACTAGACTCCACATCGCCGGACGCCTCACATGCCGTGAAAACTGGTCAAGAGCGCGCGGTGGCAGACGGCGCGCATCACATCTGAAAAGACAGCGCCTGGGGGCTCCCTGGGCGTGGGGCCTGCTGCTCTTGATAGTTTTTATCGCGGCAGCTTGCCAGCTAGGAAGGGGCTCCTGGGGCTAAGCGGTATCGCAGGGCGCGCCATTCGGCTCGACCGACAAGGGGCAACTTCCAGGCCTGAAAACGACGGGCAAGGAGGACATGGAGGGCGTCGGGGTAGCGGGGGGGGGGGGGGGGCGAAGGGCACAGGCGAGGGCGCGCTGTGTTTTCACTCGCCTCGGCGGCAACGAAGTCACGGCATGATCCGCGGCCGCGCGGAGCTCCGCGCGAGCTCCGCCAGCCGCCTTCATCATTGCCGAGTTGCCGCCATCGTCGAAGCTGCTGCTCGCGTTGTGGGGGCGGGCGACGATGGGCAGCGTCTGCCAAAACCGCGGGCTGCGCCAGCGCAGACCGATCTCGGCGAGCGTGCCATGATCCCAGGTCTGCTGCTCCAGGAACACAAAGAGAGCTCGCAAATTTGTGTTCATGCCCTCTGCGGCGAGCATCATCGTGTCCGCGGAGTACACGTTGATCGAGTGCACGTGCAGCGTTGACCAGTTCACAAGGCTGAGGACGTCCGTCTTCGCGAGGCTCCGTGGCGGCAAGTGCCGCATCTTCATGAATGCCCACCCCTGGCGGCATCTGATCGCTTTCGGGATGGGGAACATCTGCGCCAGGTAGCCGAGGGTGGGCAGTACTCGGGTGTTGTGCAAGCGCGCGGTGAGATGCACTGGGCAGTCCACCGCAGCGAGCTCCAGAAATCAGAAGATCCATCTACTGCCAGCAGCTTTCCAGATATCATTGATCGCGACTGCAGGGCCCATCAGCGCGCCGAGATACTCGCCTCTGTCTGCCACAGTCATAGCACCCCACGATTGGAGATGCGAAGCCAGCCGCGCCTTCATCTCGGCCTCGACGCCGGCGGGGAACGGCAGGCCGAGCGGGGCGAGGATGCGCTTCGGCATCGTGAGCTTCGAGCCCGCGAGCGCCTCAGCAGCGCGAAAGACGCGCCAGGGCCTGGGCAGCGCGCGGCGGTCATGGACCGCAGCGTCCACGTCGTCCGCGCGCACGCCGAGGGCGCACGGCGCGGAGATGCTGCCGATCATCTCGACCTGCAGCACGAACGGGTTCATGCCGAGCGCATGTATATATATATATATATATATATATATATATATATATCACAACGACCTAATGCCTTCAATAAGTGCCCTTTCAAGCTCAGTCCGCGGCCTTCGTCGCGATCATCACCGCGAACTAATGCCTTCACAAAATTGCCCTCTCAAGCTCAGCCCGCGGCCTTCGCCCGAACTGATCTGCTCCGAGGCGTGCTCAAACCAGACGGGCTGGCATCCCCCAGCGCTGCGCTCCACGACCACGGCTGGCTGTTTTTCTCAGCCGTTAGGGGACCAACCCGGCCGCGGTCATAAAGGACACGCAAAAACACTGTCGGCGGCTACGCACAGTCGGCGGCTACTGAACTGACCTGGAAATGCCAGTGCACGGAGGCGTTTCGCCGCATCGGGCCATTTGCGAGCCGATTCCTGCAAGTCGGCCCAGAAACGCGCCGGGGCGGAATGCCGAGTAGCAAGTCCCGGATTGAGCCGGGTGGCCTCAACTACCGCCATGGTGACGTGGAGTCCGAATGCCTGCCGCGCGAAGGCCCCGAAGTCGGCGTGAAGCCCCAGGAAGTCTAAAAAGTCCTGGTGGGCCGCGCCGAGGTAGTGACCGAAACTCTGCATCTGGCCAGGTGCTCCAGCGCGTCCGAGGGCCAATGGCAAAAATGGCAATTGCCACGACCCTGAAAGCGGTGTGCCGTGCACCAGCTGTTCAGCCACGTGGAAGCGATTGCAAACCCAAGGAAAAGCGGGACTACGGGGGCATGCTTGGAAACGCACCAACATGCCCGTTTCACAGCGATTCCGATCGGCACCCCCCGCCGGAAATAGGTGGCCCAACGAGAAGACCAACGCCGTCGGAATACATGTTCAAGAGCCGGAGGCCCATCGGCGGCACGGAGGAGGTCGTTGAGGGCTGTCTGCGAGAGGTCCAAGAGATCGTTGCCGGTGATGGAGGGCAGGGCCTGTATTTTCTGAGCATGGGCGTCGTGGAGAACCTGTACCGCAGACCGCGCATGCCAATCACTAGCCCAAGGCTACAGAATGTGATCGTCGTGCCAACGGAATGCCTGAAGATCATGGCGAAGACCCCGCCACTCCATCTTCGGGGAGGCCCTGGTGTGGGCCTTGATGGCCATGCTCATGTAGCGGAGCCGCATAAAGCGGTTGGGGTACCGGAACAGCGAGTCGAAGGAATAGGCGGCCCCGACCGGCACCCAGCAACGAGGGACACGGGTGAGGAGCTCGACCATATCGTCCTGGAGCTGGAAGAGGGCCTGCGGCATGTGCCGCACCTGGGCCAGGTAGTAAAGGACGGGAAACGCCTGAATGTTGTGCACGGTCATCGTGGCGGCGAGGCCCTCCGTGACCCGCAGGGGGCCGCCCCAGACCCGAACTTGGCAACCGCCGCGGACCATTCGAACCGGTGGGAATCGGGACCTATAACAACTCAGCAACGGGCAAACGCTTTACACACTTGCTCTACACAGACGCCTTCTCAATCTATCCCCCAACCGTCCATCACGCGTAATCGATGGTCCCAAACCTTACAGATTCTGCCACCAAGTTGAATGGTGACGACCTGGCCTCCTTATCTTGTTAGTAGGAAAGGCCTTCACAAAGTTGATTCAAGCCCATGTCCTTCCCTGCAGAGGTAATGGTTTCCAGCATATGCGATAGCTGTCCAGAACTCGGTATACTGGCGCCGCGCCGCCAGCACATACATCTCACATGTTACTACATGTTCCTGCTGTTGCGAATCCGCAAAACCGTTTGTCAGCATCACCGTTTCGACAGAGAAACGAGCAGCTTTCAACCGCCCAGAAAAACCGCCCAATAGTAGACATTAGTGAAACACAATGTGAGCAATTTCTTCGGACCACATCTACAATAGGTGGTGGTAGCATTAAACGCGCCACGGGAGTACCCATACATTTCTTTCAGTCGGTCGACATCTCTCGCCCAATCAGACAGAAGTCAGACAGGACCACGGTTATTTCCTGTGAGTAAAGCTGCGTCGATCATACGCCGAGCATCATGAGCGCATGAGCGCGTCAACGCGAGCAGCATACGCCACCGTCGAGCAGAATGAGCGCGTCAGCGGTCCCCCGACAGAGTTGGAACCCAAACTGCGATGCCCGTACGCAATCGTTCTGGAGCCCCTCCTTGAAGACATCGCTGGTTTGGCATGGCCGCCAAGGCTATGGTTAGGTCGGGCATGTCCTCCTGCAGGCGGATTGTGGAAGAAGAATTAATCATTCTCAACAATGAATCAAAATAGCCAAAACAATACAAACATCGTCCCCCGGGTACTTTTTTACTACTCTTGAATGTTCCTCCTGTAGAAGGACACGCCCGACTGAAGGCTATGGATCGAAAAGGTGCTAACGAAACGAGCCCATCTTGCAGCGCAGTGGGGCGGCCAGCCCCTGACGGCCGCTCGGAACCATCCGAGCACACCTGGACGGCTCTCGGAGAGGCGCAGCAGCTGGAAGGTATGCAGAGTCTAGACAGCCGCTGGTGACCCACGAAGACGCCCAGAAACCTCAAACGTCGAGCATGTCCCCTGTCGTTGTTGCCGTTGTGTCATCATCACCATCACCATCACCCTCATCATCACTATCATCGCCATCCTAAGCATCACCACAGCCCCATCGTTGTCCATCACCAATCATCAACCACCCATAATCAATCACCAATTATCATAATCACCACCATCATCAGCATCACCACCATCAACATCACCACCAGCATCACCACCACCATCAGCATCATCATACACCACACGTCATCAATTACCAATCGCCAGACAGCGATCATCAAAATCAATAAGAATAATCATCATCATCAGCATCATCATCATCATCAGCATCATCAGCATCACCAGCACCATCATCACCAGCACCATCACCAGCACCATCATACCACCACCACAACCACCACCAGTACCACCACCATCACCACTACCACCATCATCACCATGACCGGGACCATGACCATGACCATCACCATGACCGTGACCATCACCAGCATCATCCACCCCCATCGTTGCCCCTGACCCCCCCCCCCCGGTCCTCTGCCTGCCGGCGCCCTCCTCCGGGGGCGAGCGCTGCAGCCCGCCCGCGCCCGCGCCGCCGAGGGCCCAGGGCGCCTGGAGCGGGCCGCGCCGGCGCGGGCCGCGCCGGCGGCCAGACCGGACGAGGCCGTTCTCTGAGGGGCAAGGGGGGGGGGGGGTCTGGCACAAGGGGGGGGGGCAGTGCGGGCAGTACTTCTATCCATATCCAAAGCGTCGTGGACTTTTTGGGAAGAGGTGCCGCAACGCTGAGGCGCACCGGATATGGATAAAATCAAGCCTCTTGGGGCCAGATTTTTATCCATATCCGGTGCGTCTACGGTTTCTGGGGAAGAGAGCCCAAGAATCCAAGACGCACTGGATGTGGATATAATTATTGCCCGCAGACAGATCGACTTGGCATCGGCGATGCATCCCCGATGGAGCGGCGATAGGGCCCCGACCGCGAGTCCGCACGCTCCTCCTGGGCAGGTTCGGGCGATCGGGCCCCTGTCGGCGATCACGGGGCGGTCGGAGCCCCAGCGGGTACAGCCTCCCCCCCGGGGCCAGTCGGCCTTGGGGGGTCCATCAAACTAGAGCCAGGTGGCCCCCGAAGCAACGCTCCAAGGGTCGCAGGCGGATCGGTAGAGTGCACATGGGCTACCAACAGACAAAAGCCGAGAGAAAGAGGAGGAGACGGGGGAACAGGCCTCATATCATGCTGAAGGGAGTGAGAAGGAGGAGGAAAGGACGAGGCCCTTCTCCTGCTCCTCCTCCCCCCATCCATCAGCGCCTAGCCCGTCCGCCGCCCTCTCGCTTTTGTGCGCCTAGCCCGTCCGCGACCCAGGGCCAGGCCTTGCTTCGCTTGGTGGGTGGCGGCCGAAACCAGCTCTCAGCATGCGGCGCGCAGACTGCTGCAATGCCGAGTCCGACCGACCTCCCTTATCAGATCTCCCATGTCGATCATCACCGCGCCCTCGTGCCACCCCCTCTTGGAGGAAGGCAGCCACTCTGGCCCAGACCGCGACGCGCGAAGCACGATGATCTTCGCGCCCTCGCGGGTGCTCTAGGCTCGCCATCGTTCGGACGTCCATTCCCTGTGTTTTTTTCGGTTTCGTGCGTGGCTTTTTCGCCAAATGATCCAGGATGCTCCTCGATGGTCCTCGCCGAGAAAAAAATGCACACGTCCGAGCGATGCCAGGTAGGATCCAAAATGCCCGTCGATCCGATTAAATCAGCCCTGCCCATTTGTCTTCGCTTGCGGCCTCGGGGCGTCGTCATCGAGGCCTGGGGCCACCGAGCATGGATCCGCGACGATAAGCTACCTCTGGGGAAGGGGTCGACCTACAGTCGGGGCGTTGACCTAAGGAACCCCAAATAAGGAACGAGGCCCCTTTTTCCCATAAGTTAAACTTCGATTTCCTATCGAAAACATGAGGAAAACCTGAGGCAAGCTGTGAAACACTTAAGGAACCTGGAGCCCCTCCCCAACCAAAAGGGTTCCTTCTTCAAGGACCCGACTGTATTGCGGGGCAACGATATGGGGAGGGTCTGGCACAGGGGGAACACTACATCGACCTGCAATCGGCGATACATCCTTGGGCGCCCGAATTATCCGGGGTAACTCGGGTCCGGGGCAACTCGGGCTCGGATTCCCGAAACACGAACCCGAGTTAGCCCTGACCCGAATTACCCCTGATGATTTGGGGCTCTGGACGCCCGAATTAGCCGGGGTAACTCGGGCCCGGGACAACTCGGGTTCGGATTCCCGAAAAATGAACCCGAGTTACCCCTGACCCGAGTTACCCCTGATGATTTGGGGCTCTGGACGCCCGAATTAGCCGGGGTAACTCGGGCCCTGGGCAACTCGGGTTCGGATTTTCGAAAAATGAACCCGAATTAGCCCTGACCCGAGTTACCCCTGATGATTCGGGGCTCTGACATCCGCCGATGGATCGGCGATAGGCCCCCGATAGCGAATCCGCACGCTGCTGGGCAGGGTGGGACTATCGGACCCCTATCGGCGATCAATGGGCAATTGCGGGTCGACGCGTCCCCCCCGTGCCCACTTTCGCGGGTGCTCGCTATCGAGCCCCAGGGCCACCAAAAACGGATTCCCGTCGAAAAGCGTTCTCTGGGGAAGGAGTCGACCTCCTGCCATCGCTCGGACGACCGCTCGAACACCTCGAGCCTCGAGCCTGACGCTCCGTCCCCCCACCGTCGCCCCTCAGCTGCCACTGAGTCTACCCCCTGTGGCCTGGGGCTTCTTGCCCCAGGCCTGGCAACGCAGAGGTGCAGGCGCCGCTTCGAGCGCTTCCTGCCCTGGCCTGGCAACGCAGAGGCGCCCAGGCGGGGCCTCAGCAGAGGCTCGCTCCCCCTTCCGGCCTGGGCCGGGGGACTGCGGCCCGCAGGCCGCAGGGAAGCCCCTGCCTGCACGGCCGAGGAGGAGGAGGAGGAGGAGGAGGAGGAGGAGGAGGAGGAGGAGGAGGAGGAGGAGGAGGAGGAGGAGGGACGAGGAGGAGGAGGAGGAGGAGGAGGAGGAGGAGGAGGAGGAGGGGAGGAGGAGGAGGAGGAGGAGGAGGAAAAGGAGGAGGAGGGAGGAGGAGGAGGAGGAGGAGGAGGAGGAAGAGGAGGAGGAGGAGGAAGGAGGAGGAGGCGGAGGAGGAGGAATAGGAGGAGGAGGAGGAGGAGGAGGAGGAGAGGAGGAGGAGGAGGGAGGAGGAGGAGGAGGAGGAGGAGGAGGGGAGGAGGAGGAGGAGGAGGAGGAGGAGGCCCGTTCGCCGTGTGGCGCCAACCCTCCGGCCGCTGGGCGGGGCTCCCCGCCCCGGCCTGCTCCGCCGGCGGAGCGCCCGAGCCCGGCCCGCCGGCGGCCCAGGCCGCGGCGGCCCAGGCGGGCGGCCTCCGGGCGCGCGGGGCTCGCGGAGCGGTCCCTGACTCTCAGGAGGGCTAAAAAATAGCACGCGGCCTAAAAACCTATCCCAGAGCTGTTTCGTTTCGCTTTTTAGGTTTTTAGGCCTCCAGTGCTAAAAAAAAGCTCTCTGGAAGGTCAGGGGTCGGCGGGGCTCGCCCGCCGGCCGCTCCCTGGGAGCGGGCCGGCGGCGAGCGAACGGGGGGGGAAACGAACGGGGGGCCTCCTCGGACGGCGAACGGGGGGGGAAGCGAGCGGGGGGCCTCCTCGGGAGGCGGCCGGAGGGCCTCTCGGAGGCCCTCCGGCCTCCTGGGCGGCTTCCCGCGTCCTCGGGGAGAGGCCCAGAGCACACTTCGGAAGGCCGGGCGGACTTCAGGGCCTTCTGGAAAGGCCCGCCCGCTCTCACGTCCCCCCTGAAGGCTGGCCGCCGAATGGGGCGAGGGGGCCGGGCCGAGCGGTCGGCGGGGTCGCCCACCCCTTCCCTCGGGGGCGTCTACACTGGGGTCCCCCCAGGGGGGTTCGCAAGCAATGGCTTGGGGATGTGCGCGGACGAGGCGGGGGTGGGGGGGGGGCCAGGTGACACACTGGAATGAGGAGAGGGGGCCGTGAGTTCTGCGAGACATCATGACCCTGGCAATGGTATCACCCTCCCTGGACATCACCCACACTGGAATGAGGAGAGGGCACCGTGAGTTCTGCGAGACGTCACGACCCTGGCAATGGTATCACCCCCCCCCCCTGGACACCGCCCGCCTCTTTGGCCGCCCCCGATTGCTGGGAGACTGGGGCGAGGGTTGGGGAACCCTGAGATCTTGGCGTCGCATTTCTTCACGACGAACGATCTTGCCCTGATTCGGGCGCTGGGGCCCTCACGGATCGACCTGGCCGCAGAACCGCGGGGTCCAGGCGTCCAGAGGTCGGCATTGCTTGCGAGGCCGCAGCTTTTTCGCAGCGTCGGGGGGAGGAGGGGGGAGGCAGCAGGGCGGCGAGGAGGCGGGCGGGGAGGGGGAAGAGGAAGGGGGGGGGGCAAGGGGAGGGCACGGGGAGGAGGAAGTGGAAGGCGAGGGGGAAGAGGAGGCGGAAGATCGGGGATGGACAGAACCCCCTTCAGTAACACGCGGTTTCGTGAAAACGACCTCGGGCCCAATCCTGGCGGCGCAAGCCTGGAGAATGACGGCCGCGGCGGCCTGTCGAGAACCCGAAACAGACAATTCATTAATCGACGTGTCAGGGTGGGGGTTCTGTCCACCCCCGAGAAGAGGAAGGGGAGGAAGGGGAGGGGAAGGGGAGGAAAGTGAGGGATGAAAAGAAGGATGGGAAGAGAATGTACGTACGAGAAAGAAACGGAGCAGGAGGATGGGGAAAGGCGGCTAGGAGGATGGAAATGATGAAAGGCAGTAGAGATGACGAGGGAGGGGAGAAGGAATGCGAGGCAGAAAGGAATGATGAGGAATGCGGAAGGAAAAGAAGGGAGGAACGACTGGGGGGAGGACGAAGGGGATGAGAAGGAGGCAAGATTTGCGCGCCCGCACCGTCTCTGGCATCTACGTGCGGTGGAAATGCCGATGGTCGGGTCAGCCCGACGCAGGAATACGGAAATGGCATCACTCATGGGCTCCTTGGGGCTCGTCTGGGACACCCTGGAGCGCCCCTGGGCCGGTTGCCGGCCCGGGAAGCCTCGCTGGTGGGCCGTCGGAGCAACCTTGGGGACTCTTAGCCCGACGTGGGGTCATCTTGAAGGCCTCGTGGGCCGCCGCGGGATGCCCAATGCCCGAGAATGGCACAAAGAAATCCTTCCAAGAGCGGACGGATAATGAGCGCCTTGTGCCTCTTGGTGCTCTCGTGGAGGGACTCTGGGGGCCCCTTTGGCCAGTGCTTGACCCTCTGGGCTGCCTCCTGGGCCGTCTGGGGCTGCGGGGGGCCTGAACAGGGAGCAACGCCAACATCTTCAAACACCTGCATAACACGCATGTGCTCCTTTAGATATACATATACAGATGCACACATATACATACAACAAGCCATCCAAACATACATGCACACATACATGCATGCATACACACATTCATACATACGTACATGCATCAACATTGCATTTATATACATTACATTACATGCACATGCACATACATACACCAGCACATACACCTACACCTGCACCTGCACCTGCACCTGCAACTACACCTACACCTACATCTACACATACCCATACATATATACACATGCACCCATACAGACAGACAGACCGACAGGCAGACCGAGATGAAAGCATACATACATACATACATACATGCATGCATACATACATGCATGCATGCATGCATACAACCACCCATGCACACATGCATACATCAATCCATCCATACATACATACATACATTCATGCATGTATACATACATACATGCATACATACATACATACATACATACATGCATGCATGCATGCATGCATGCATGCATGCATTTCATTCATACATACATACATACATGTATACATGCATACATGCATACATGCATACATACATACATGCATACGTACATACGTACATACGTACATACGTACATACGTACATACGTACATACGTACATACGTACGTACATACATACACACACATACACATATACATACATGCATGCATACATACATACGTGTATATTCACACATACATACATACATACATACATACATACATACATAAATACATTGCACGCATGCATACGCGCATGCATGCATGCATGCATACACCTCCATACATACAAATATACATACACACATACATACACACATACATGCATACCTACCTGCCTACCTACCTACCTACATACGTACATACATACATACACGCATACATCCATCCAAACATACATACATACACGCCTGCATAAACACACACATACATACCTACACACTTCAATACATGCATACATATATACATATATACCGAAATAAATGCATGCATGCATGTACAGGTGCATACGCATATATCAAACACATGTGTGCGGATGCCCCACACACATGATTATACACGTCCTTCTTCCATACGTTCTACATCACTCTCACCGCGACGACCATACATGCGAGCTTCGCCTATGTATCGCCCTCGCTCTCTTGTCATCATGCATCCCCCTCCAGAGCATATGAGTATTACTCGTATTGGTTCTCTTCTGCGTTACGTTTCGTCTTATCAGTATTCGTTGTCTATCTCTCGCGCTCCCTCTCTCTTCTCCTCTCCCTCATCCTGTAGGAGCGGCAGTGCCAACAGGATTCGCTTTGAGACGTTAGTGCAGGTGGATTCCTTGTGCGGCGGCCTTGCACAACGAATTCCTTGTGACAACCTTACACGGGCTGCTGCTTTCTGAAGGAAGCTCTGTGTCAGCACAAGCATCCCTCAAATTTCCCAACCATTCTGTGGTGCTGGGTCCTCGCTTTGAAGCGACAGCGCCCCGCGTCTCCTCTCCTCTCCTCTCCTCCTCCTCCTCCTCCTCCTCCTCCTGCTCCTCCTCCTCCTCCTCCTCCTCCTCCTCCTCCTCCTCCTCCTCCTCCCTCTTCCCATCCGCATCAGGCCGCATGCGCCAACGCCACCCAGGACAACGCTTCGTGGCCCCACAGGGAGCTCCACTGGAGGCCCCAATGGCAGGGTCCGCATGCGGGTACCGCAAGCCATTTTGGCACACCCCTCCCCACAGGGAGCTCCACCGAAGGCCGCAACGGCAGGGTCCGCATGCGGGGACCGCAACCCACGTTGGCACACCCCTCACACTTTTCGTGGCCCCACGGGGATCTCCACCGAAGGCCCCAGTGGCAGGGTCCGCACGCGGGGACCGCCACTGCACACCCATCACGAGGACCGTGGCCCCACAGGGAACTCCACCGAAGGCCCCAGCGGCAGGGTCCGCATGCGGGGACCGCCACCCACGTTGGCACACCCCTCACACGATTCGTGTCCCCACAGGGTTCGTGGCCCTAAAGGGAGCTCCACCGAACGCCCCAGTGGCAGGGTCCGCATGCGGGGACCGCCACCAATTTCGGCGCACCCCTCACACGGTTCGTGGCCCCACAGGGTTCGTGGCCCTACAGCGAGCTCCACCGAAGGCCGCAATGGCACAGGCCGCATGCGCCCGACGCCCACTTTGGCACACCCCTCACTCGGCTCGTGGCCCCATACAGAGCTCCTCCGAAAGCGGTGCCCGCAACGCGGTATTCGCAATTGCGCATGGTTGGGTCTTTCTCCAGGATAAGTTTGAAGGTTTTCGTCAGTACGTAAGGGAACCCTATGAAGCTACGAAGCACACAGAAATGACATGACACCCTGCAAGGGAACCCTCACATATTCCTGCTATATGTGAAAATGCGTGTCCGGAAACCGTGTGAACACATGCAGATCATCTTGCTCTTTTGGATTGTCTGGAGACGGGCGCCCCTCCTCCTCCTCCTGCTCTTGTTCCTCCTCAACGCCCCCCACGGACAATGCGCCAAGCAAAATAACATGTGAACACACAGACGCTCCATATGTGGCTGAAGGTGTCGGTAAGGCAAACACGTGAAAACACTCATACTCCTGATACGGTTGGAGGTTGTCATACGGAAGCCATGTGAAACCAGAGATAGTTCTGAGATGTTCAGAATGGCTTTCGTACGGAGGCCATGCGAGCACACACATAATAATGCTACTGCTGGGTCTTATGAGGACGGGCGCCCCTCCTCTGCCTGCTTCCCCAACCTCCTTGCAACACGTCCCCATCCAGAAAAGCGTTAAACTATCAGGAATCGAACTGTGTTCACAGAATGTCCTTACGAAAACCTCCAATCATGTACGGAATACCCTTGTGCTCACAAGGCTTCCTTACCATAACCTTGAAACGTAGCACGGGAATATGTTCACAAGGTTTGCATACGCCGCTCGTCCTTATCCTCCCGCCTCCCTGCCGCTCCTGCGTGCTCCTGACAACTCCTCCTCCTCCTCCTGCTCCTGAATCTAGGATCGGTCCGG